ATTTTAGTTTTATTTTAGGCCTTCTTCAAAATACCTATGCCACAGCAGTTGATTTTTTTTTGCCGTAAAACCAAAATAGTTTCATCTATGCCGACTTGCCGATCGGTTAGCGTGAGCCCTGACTGAACACTGCAGAAACTCCACATCGAACTTCGCATCGCGAAGTAAAACAAAATGTCGGAAAACTTTTCTTTGACGCATGCGTATTTGCATAAATGTCTACACACGTACGCACACACATACTACACACAATAAAACACAAAGGAAAAACAGTGAAAGTGATTACAATAGTTCCTATTGCATTACATGCATAGGAACTAAAAATACTTATGTTGTTACCTTAATATTCTGGCTAATTAGGCCTTTAAATACAGGTGATGGTCCTATGGCATACATAATTGTGGTGATATGTATTAATGGGATTACAGTATGATGAGATCAACTTACCGAATTCATCCTCCATTGCCATAATGATTTCTACTTGATCAAGACTATCTAGACCCAAATCATTCATAAAGTGACTATCCAATTGTAGCTACAAAAACAAAGAAATATAATATTTAATTGATATTTTAACTTAACATGTAAAATAATATACTGTAGGAGAAAGAATAAATTACATTCAGTTTAGATGAATGATGGAAAGTGACAAGACATGCTACATGATATTTATGTATAAGTATAATTGAGAAGTTAGCCTTAAACCTAATTAATTATAGTCATTGGAATAATTCCCTACTACAATAAACAAGGACAATTATCTCAGGCCAACAGTAATTTAAATCAATAAAATCCTAATATAATAACTTAGCAATAATTTATTCACACAAATATTTACTACTGTAATATTACTATAGTGACTTGCAGGTTATGAACAAAGATTTAATATTTTTACAGTGAAGATACAGTATCTAATAGACATACCTGGAAACAGAGATTTAATCTTTTTAAAAACTAATGAAAATATTTAAGAGATAAATAACACTGAAGAAAATTAATTAAACATCAGTTATTATTTAATATTTTATTTCTTTTTACTGAAGTTCCTGAAAAAATAATGTATTTTGAAAGTCCTTTTAAAACTGTTGAATTGAAACTTGTCAACTCACACAGCCAAATCAGGAATATCAATCAATCAGACATTAAATATTTTATTCAATGAAATAAAAAACAAATGACAATAAAGTATATAATACACTATATACTATTTACCCTTACATTTGCAATTCAGAACGCTTAACATTATCTTTTACAGAATGGTTAAAAAACGTTGTTAGGATACCTCACCTAGGGATTTGAGGTTAAGAGTTCATGGCAACTTAAAAATGCTAAAATCGTAATTTCCAAATCATATGAGCAAATGATTATATTTATATTGTTAGTAAAAATAAATTTGAATAACTTCTAATTCAGGATGTTGACATTTTAGTTGAAATGGATTAATAATGCAATTTGCACTTTACTTCTCTTAAGCCTCTACATGCATGCAAGATTACATTGTGGCCTGAAGGTTTTTCTCAAATAACTTTATATTTGATAAAGTTCAAAGTATATTATAACAACGATTCAGAATAATCTTAAGATTACCTAGCATACCTTAACTATTAGGAAAAAATTATATGTCACGGAATCCTTGAAATAATTGCCAACAGGTCTCTGAATCTACTCTCAGGTTCACCACAAACCATTATTAGTTCAGCCCATAGCAAGGTACAAGATAAAAACAGGATCAACATCAAATTAATCTACCTACCTTACACATGTCAGACTAATGACATGTTAATGGATCTTTAAAAAATTATACTGAGGAAAAAATGCGGGGTCAATAGGTTTATTTAAAAAACCAAACAAAATTTACATTAAAATTGGTTTCAGTGCAATTGGAATTTAAATTTAAGCAAACAAGGAAAAATATTTGTAATAATTATGTTATTGGAATAAAATTAACATAATCATGAGTAAAAGACATAGGCCAAATACTTCAATATTTCCAATGTGCTTCAACTGACCCACTAAAGCTGGGTACTTAAAAGGAAAGGGGAAAACTGGAAATAAATCTTCAGACTTTTAGTATGTCATGTCAATCCAATCTAAGTCAAAACAACAAAAATTAAAATATTTTGGTCTATTGATTTTATTTTAGTCACAGATTTTAATAGCCATCAGCAAAATTGACACACTACCGTAGGTCTAAAAATATGTTATTGGGGGCATGCCTGCTGACCCATGGTTCACTGCCAATGAGTAATAAATTACTAGAGGGCAATCTATTCATCAATGATTAATACAATGTAATATAAACCTAGATTCATCCCTTCTTCAGTTCATTTACTATAGCAAATTCTAGATGTGATTGCTAATTGCACACAGTATTAGGTAAAAGGTCTTCTGTGATCTTACTATTTACATTAAAGGACCTGCACCAAAACATAATGAAAAACAAAGAAGGGAGTTTGTCTCCAGATAAACTCTCAGTCCCAGTGACTAGAAGAAGGTCTCCAAAGGATACTGCATATAATAACATCCACATGTTAACTGCTTAAGCTGGTTGTTCCATCAACTATGATGGATGGACTTGAATATAACCAATGATGTAACAAGTTAATTTGTTCATAAGCTTGAGCTATTAAGAAGTGAAAATAAAGGCTGCATATTTCATATAAGAATAATTGCACCCATCATCCTTTCCAGTAAATATTGTACATGAATAGATTAACTACAAAACTATAAGAAGTGTAAAAGGTAGAGAATTTATTCAAGATTTCATCTCAATTTTTTAAAGATGTTTGTAACATGTATGTAAACCCGTAACTTAAATTTTAGTTCATTTGCATTAAAACATTAAATCACAAACAGATTTTACTGACATAAAACCAAAATAGTTTCATTTATGCCGACTTGCCGATCGGTTAGCGTGAGCCCTGACTGAACACTGCAGAAACTCCACATCGAACTTCGCATCGCGAAGTAAAACAAAATGTCGGAAAACTTTTCTTTGATGCATGCGTATTTGCATAAATGTCTACACACATACGCACACACATACTACACACAATAAAACACAAAGGAAAAACAGTGAAAGTGATTACAATAGTTCCTATTGCATTACATGCATAGGAACTAAAAATACTTATGTTGTTACCTTAATATTCTGGCTAATTAGACCTTTAAATACAGGTGATGGTCCTATGGCATACATAATTGTGGTGATATGTATTAATGGGATTACAGTATGATGAGATCAACTTACCAAATTCATCCTCCATTGCCATAATGATTTCTACTTGATCAAGACTATCTAGACCCAAATCATTCATAAAGTGACTATCCAATTGTAGCTACAAAAACAAAGAAATATAATATTTAATTGATATTTTAACTTAACATGTAAAATAATATACTGTAGGAGAAAGAATAAATTACATGCAGTTTAGATGAATGATGGAAAGTGACAAAACATGCTACATGATATTTATGTATAAGTATAATTGAGAAGTTAGCCTTAAACCTAATTAATTATAATCATTGGAATAATTCCCTACTACAATAAACAAGGACAATTATCTCAGGCCAACAGTAATTTAAATCAATAAAATCCTAATATAATAACTTAGCAATAATTTATTCACACAAATATTTACTACTGTAATATTACTATAGTGACTTGCAGTTTATGAACAAAGATTTAATATTTTTACAGTGAAGATACAGTATCTAATAGACATACCTGTAGGAAACAGAGATTTAATCTTTTTAAAAACTAATGAAAATATTTAAGAGATAAATAACACTGAAGAAAATTAATTAAAACATCAGTTATTGTTTAATATTTTATTTCTTTTTACTGAAGTTCCTGAAAAAATAATGTATTTTGAAAGTCCTTTTAAAACTGTTGAATTGAAACTTGTCAACTCACACAGCCAAATCAGGAATATCAATCAATCAGTAAATATTTTATTCAATGAAATAAAAAACAAATGACAATAAAGTATATAATACACTATATACCCTTACATTTGCAATTCAGAACACTTAACATAACATTTTTTAACATTCTTTTACAGAATGGTTAAAAAACGTTGTTAGGATACCTCACCTAGGGATTTGAGGTTAAGAGTTCATGGCAACTTAAAAATGCTAAAATCGTAATTTCCAAATCATATGAGCAAATGATTATATTTATATTGTTAGTAAAAATAAATTTGAATAACTTCTAATTCAGGATGTTGACATTTTAGTTGAAATGGATTAATAATGCAATTTGCACTTTACTTCTCTTAAGCCTCTACATGCATGCAAGATTACATTGTGGCCTGAAGGTTTTTCTCAAATAACTTTATATTTGATAAAGTTCAAAGTATATTAAAACAACGATTCAGAATAATCTTAAGATTACCTAGCATACCTTAACTAATAGGAAAAAATTATATGTCACGGAATCCTTGAAATAATTGCCAACAGGTCTCTGAATCTACTCTCAGGTTCACCACAAACCATTATTAGTTCAGCCCATAGCAAGGTACAAGATAAAAACAGGATCAACATCAAATTAATCTACCTACCTTACACATGTCAGACTAATGACATGTTAATGGATCTTTAAAAAATTATACTGAGGAAAAAATGCGGGGTCAATAGGTTTATTTAAAAAAACCAAACAAAATTTACATTAAAATTGGTTTCAGTGCAATTGGAATTTAAATTTAAGCAAACAAGGAAAAATATTTGTAATAATTATGTTATTGGAATAAAATTAACATAATCATAAGTAAAAGACATAGGCCAAATACTTCAATATTTCCAATGTGCTTCAACTGACCCACTAAAGCTGGGTACTTGAAAGGAAAGGGGAAACTGGAAATAAATCTTCAGACTTTTAGTATGTCATGTCAATCCAATCTAAGTCAAAACAACAAAAATTAAAATATTTTGGTCTATTGATTTTATTTTAGTCACAGATTTTAATAGCCATCAGCAAAATTGACACACTACCGTAGGTCTAAAAATATGTTATTGGGGGCATGCCTGCTGACCCATGGTTCACTGCCAATGAGTAATAAATTACTAGAGGGCAATCTATTCATCAATGATTAATACAATGTAATATAAACCTAGATTCATCCCTTCTTCAGTTCATTTACTATAGCAAATTCTAGATGTGATTGCTAATTGCACACAGTATTAGGTAAAAGGTCTTCTGTGATCTTACTATTTACATTAAAGGACCTGCACCAAAACATAATGAAAAACAAAGAAGGGAGTTTGTCTCCAGATAAACTCTCAGTCCCAGTGACTAGAAGAAGGTCTCCAAAGGATACTGCATATAATAACATCCACATGTTAACTGCTTAAGCTGGTTGTTCCATCAACTATGATGGATGGACTTGAATATAACCAATGATGTAACAAGTTAATTTGTTCATAAGCTTGAGCTATTAAGAAGTGAAAATAAAGGCTGCATATTTCATATAAGAATAATTGCACCCATCATCCTTTCCAGTAAATATTGTACATGAATAGATTAACTACAAAACTATAAGAAGTGTAAAAGGTAGAGAATTTATTCAAGATTTCATCTCAATTTTTTAAAGATGTTTGTAACATGTATGTAAACCCGTAACTTAAATTTTAGTTCATTTGCATTAAAACATTAAATCACAAACAGATTTTACTGATTAAAGGCTTAGAGATTTCACTAAATCTTACATAAAAGATTTGTTTGTACAATATTTATGTAAAAAGAACTAAATAAAAACATGCACGCCTACTATACTACCGATCAAGTCGTCTGCGAATTCTGTCAACAAGCACACATGTGAGGGAATCTATTTTTTTTCTGCTGAAAAAAAAAACACACTTGTAATGTTGGTGGCGCACTTCACATCTTGTTCCCTGTGCTGAAGATGAAAAAAACGATCGTTTTTCCTCTATTATCAGCATTTTTTAGTCGACTTTTTTACCAAAAAAAAAATTAAAAAATGAGAGGCGGCTAGAAAATCAGGGTTGGGCAGTGACGCTAAACAAGTATATTTCTTTCTTTTTTTGGCCTAAAATCCAGAAATTTGAGTATTGATCTCAAGATAAATCTTACCTTTTCCGGATTGACTTTGTCATAAAGTTTGAGCACATACAGAACTCTATCTCGGATCTGTTCAAATGTGAGATCTGGCAATCCACCATAGTATCTCACCTGTGATGCCCATGTTGGTTGAAACTGATGACAAAACAAAAACAAATTAAAAAAAAAAATAAAACAAATAAATATTTATTGAAAAAAATCATCTGGAATATTAATATTATTACACTGATACAAGCCCTCGAAAATTGGGATGAACTGACCTTGGCAAAAAGTCCTAAATATTCTATTTAGGCCTACTAGGGTCTAGGCTTACATGTAGGACCTAGGGGCCTACTACTACTAGGCCTACGCTTGTTGGGCCTAGGCCTAGCTAGGGCCTACACTGTAGGCTTGCCTAGGGGGGCCTAATTAATATTAACGCACGCACGTGTTTAAACTTCAAATGCAAAGAAATGCATACAATAATTGATAAAATAAAATTGATTGGACATTAAGCTAAAGACTTGGCCAGATCTTAAAAAAAAAACAAGCAGATCGTTTTATGTCACGTTGCAATTCTTCGTCGTTAGTAGGCCCAAGCTAGACCTCCTGTTCACAGTTCTACTACATAAACCGGTATCGTTCATACCGGGTCTAGCCTAGTAGCCTAGGCTACACACACCACACCAAGCACCGCAATGAATAAAAAAAAATAAATCTTACGTACCTGGTTTGTCCACAGTTGATATGATATATGTCTCCTATTTTGGCAAAATGTTATTTGTGTATTTTGAATACTACTTAATGCAGAGCTAACTCCATATACAGCTGGTCGAATAGTTACATTTTTGCACAACGTCTGCAAGAATCGTGCGTACCTCACCATGGCGGCCATCTTCTTGTGAATACCCAGATAGATTTGCCGAGAAATAGATGCGTGTGCATGTGCTAACGTTAGCTAACTACCCTTGCAAAAAATCTTCATTATTGAGGGCGCCAAACATAATTTTTCTAATACAGTAATGTGATCTGTTGATAAATTACGTATTAACCTATGCAAAAAAAAGTGTTGGAAAAACGTTAGAAATTAAGCATACTTGTACTGTGTGGAACACAGAAAGAATTAGGAAATCGTTTCTCCCATCTGCCATCAGAAACCATAACGTATCGTGGAAGAGGTAAATTTAATTTAATGTTGAATATTGTTAGCTGTTTACATTTTAAACTGGTTTTAAGTTTTCAATCAAAATTTTATCTTATATTTTAATGTCTCAACCTCAGTACTTTTAACTACTTTTACCAACTTTGATATTTTAAAAGTTTCCGGATTCTAAAACCGTTCACACTTCTGAACATCTTTATGGCTGGTTTGCAGTTTTTTATGCTTATATATGTTGTATATCACATTTTTAAACTTTTTTTTTTTAATGTTGTTTTATATTTTTAAATATTTTTAGACAATGTTCAGCATGTACACTCAGACAAAGTTTCGAACATGTTTTTATCTGCATGTTGACCAATAAATCGAAATTTAACTGAATCACTGTAGTATCATTCACTTATATCTTTTTTCTATTATGAAGCATCATTTATTTATTGTGTATTGCATATTGATTCTAAATTTTAATCACTTTTTTCAAGTTTTAAGTTCTCTTTTTGTACATTGTTAGCTTGTGAATGCACTAGTCTCCTTTGAGTGCCACCGATCTAAAGACGTGGTACAATTCTATTTTTTAATGTAACATTACAACTACACTTAACGTCTTTTTGAAATAGAAGTAAAAATCAAATACAGACCTCTTGCACACCAATTGAACTACAGACCTCTTGCACACCACATCAAATACAGATCCTCTTGCACACCACATCACATACAGACCTCTTGCACGCCACATCAAATACAGACCTCTCGCACGCCACATCAAATACAGAGCTCTTGCGCGCTACATCAAATACAGACCTCTTGCAGGCCACATCAAATGCAGACCTCTTGCACACCACTTTCACCTTTTCTTGCTTCAACATTAACACAAGTTAATGTAAAAACCATAACAAACCCATTTTAATTGTGTTTCTATAACATACTGAAAAATTATTAAAAACTGCAATGATTTTACAATAACAATAATTAAATATTTACATTAATGTAATCAACTTAGTTTTTGTAAATAATTAAATAAAAGAATTTACCATCCACAACATTTTCCATTTAATGTTTGTATAAAAAAATACACAATCTAGCCACCTATGCAATCATCCACTAACATCTCACAGTCTATTCCTCTTGATTTTCTAAATAAAACACTACAGTTTAACATGAGTTATAAGAAAGAATTATAATATCTACATACATAAAATATAACCAAGTTTTAAAACAAGCATAACAATAATAAAGAACCTCACCCTCAACCTTCCTGACATAATCTTAATGATCAGTCATTTGTATTATATATTATGATTAAAATGTGAAAATTTTATAATCAACAAACATGTTCTTGATTACTCTTAAGTAATTTGACCCCTAAAATAATCATTCTTTCCAGCCCCCAATATTCAGGCCTTGGATCCAATTTCATTCCAAATTCACACCCATGATATATAATTAGAATGGTCTTCCCACATATGGCATTAACATTAAAATGATCAAAATTCTCAGGTCTCTTTGGCTAACTGTTCTTGTGTAAACCCCTTGGGCCCTTACAAACAAGATGGTAGATATACCTAGCTATATCTATAACAAATTAGGGGCGCAAAGGTGGAGTGGGGGCTCAATTAAGTAAGGGGACTCTGGGTTGCATGATAAGGTGATTTTTAACAACTTCAACATGATTTTTTTTCCTTCAGACGTTTTTAACAGAGGGGGGGAGCAATCTTTTTTGGGGTGGGGCATGCATCCCCTAGATATGGTACTGCCTGTATGGCAAATTATGTAGAGATACAGAAGATCATAACACAGTACACTGTTATCAAAATTTACTTCTCAAAACCATAAATTAATATTTCAAATTCAAAATGAAATTTGATTTAAAATATTGTATGATGGAAATAGTGGTACAGTATTTTAACAGTATGGGGCTTGTCATGCCAAAACAAAACAAAAAGATTGACTTTTTAAAATATTCATATTCTTCACATTGTAAGCTTAATGACAGGTCACAGGGGCGTACGGTGAAAAATCTAAGGGGGGGGGGGTCGAAACGAAAGTGCAGGGGGCAAGCTGAACTCGGAGCAATTTAGCGAAGCTTTCAGAATTCGCGGGGTGCGTTATTTGTGAGTGAAGCGAGCATATTTGCGAGCATATTTAAAGGGAACTTTCTTTAAAAGGGGGGGGTCGACCGCACCCATCGACCCCCCCACGGTACGCCCCTGGGTCACTAGAATCAATTATTTCCCAAGTTGTGAGTAAAGTATTTGTTTCTCTGTTCTCAACTACAGATTACTGCCACATTGTTGCTAATTACTCAGTTTAACATTTAGTGACACTACGTTGGATTGCAAGCTTCATATGACTTAGCAACTATGCTACTCAGGACTGACATACTAAAATAGAGATTAAATCCAATCCAAACTTTGACGTATGTGGTTCACACTACGTATACATGAGAAATATAGAGTATACAGTCCTTTCAAAGTACTCTATACCCATGTGGACACAAAGTTATACAGTCCATTTACAGTGTTGTATACTTTACCTATTGGTATACAAGTTGCAATGGTCATATCAGTCCTAATTACTAATATGTAAGTTCCTCCAATACCAACCTCTCTATACTTAATAATATTTTTTTAGATTAATCAATGAATTAAATTACTGTAATATCAATACATACACAGTGTATCTACACAAAAATATAGCAGGTTAGTGTGTATTGCATGTTTCCAGTTTATGCCTGGACATGGAGTCAGTTCACTCTAGGCTGGCTGGCAACTTGCCAACAATCTTGTTTTTTCGTCAGTTTTCTCGCAGTTGTCTTTATCCTTCAGCGGAAAACATAAATTGGCATACTATGGTCAGCTACGTGCTCTAAATTCAAAGACTGAAACCTGAGAAAAAAAATCAAACACACATCTTAGAATGATAGCAACACAGTTTTGGAAATTTTTATGTAAATAGCGGAAAATATTGTCTTGTATGCCAAAGCTGGGAGCACCTGGCAGTGAATTGTCATGCACTGTCTACACTGAATACAGAAAACCATTTGTGTCATTACCAGGACATGTCATGTCTGCAAGGTACCCCAAGAAATCCCTAACAATGGCAGTGATGGATAGAGTGCAAAGCAGAAACATACCATTCAGAGCTCTTGTGATAATAATATCCATCAATGGCGCCTTTGGACTTCTGGTAGCAAATGTAGTAGAATCCAGCAAACGATGCTCCAC